TTGACCCTTTCTTATTTTAAGACCCAATTGCTCAGGAAATATTAAGGTGCCAGACAAATCCTTTTTGCAGGTTAGCCTACTGGTTTTGATGTGCAATGTTTACCTATTTTGTTTAATACAACCTAATTTAGGTCACTGTTTTCCTTCCCTTTTCTGAATTATGAGATTTAGTTACTGTAATCAAGACAAAACATCCCTGTGTGTTCTGCCTTTGGTAGGTCGGAGGACCCTTGCTGTTATCACAAAGCTGGATCTCATGGATGCTGGCACTGATGCTATGGATGTACTCCTGGGAAGAGTGATTCCAGTCAAGCTTGGCATCATTGGGGTGGTGAACAGGTCTGTCTGGGCACATCAATGCTATTTTTACAACTATGTTAATATGAAGTAATGCTTTCAACTTTTTAAAATATGAATACAGTTTTAAGAATAAGGTGACAGTGTTGAAATAAACTTCTGAGTGCACAAGTTCAGAAGCTTGTTCATTTCTCAAAAGTCTTTGTTCTTCCCCTCAACCAACTGCTAATGTAGAGAGGAGTAGAGACTCTTCAACTCTAGTGTCCTTTCCTCTGTTTTCTTCAGCTTGAGGAATGTTTTGTACTGATCCAGTACAGATGTGGTGTATATTAGTGCTAACCACATATGGCTACAGTACTTGTCACTTTATTTTTTTGCATTAGCTAGGCCAAATCTCATCTAGTTTTGATAAAAATATTGCTGCTACCAGCTGCTACCCATACTGGTTTGTTGGCTATGCTGCATGGAATAGCAAATAAAACCCTTTAAAGTCTAAAGAAAGTGAGTTACATGTGTAAAGCAAAAACAGCTGTTAGATGTCCTGTCCAGAAAAGCAGAAGTGTACGTTATTTTTGCTTTGCATCTATTAACTTGTATGTAACTTTGCCTTTTTAACTTCAGGAGTCAGTTGGACATAAACAATAAGAAAAGTGTAGCTGATTCCATTCGTGATGAGTATGGTTTTCTCCAAAAGAAATATCCTTCCCTGGCCAATCGAAATGGAACCAAGTATCTTGCTAGGACACTGAACAGGTATTACTTTAAGATATAAACTGATGTGTTAAAACATATTCAGAGCTTTCTTTGTACCTTTAGTTTCTCTTTTGGTGCTGTATAGTGATATATTAAGGAATAATCTGATTCCAAACTCTGTTTCTCTCAGTTTCTGAATTTACTCTAGTTTTACTGAGTAAATGTTTTCCTTTGCTGACCAGTTTGTCTCTCCTCTGTTTTGATGGAGATGATAAAGCTGAAGCTTTTCCTCCCTTCTAATGAGAGACTGTTTTCTATTTTTAGACTACTGATGCATCATATCAGGGATTGCTTGCCAGAACTGAAAACCAGAATCAATGTTTTAGCTGCTCAGTACCAGTCTCTGCTGAACAGCTATGGGGAACCTGTTGAAGACAAAAGTGCTACTTTATTGCAGCTTATTACCAAATTTGCCACAGAGTATTGTAACACTATTGAAGGAACAGCAAAATACATAGAGACTTCAGAGCTGTAAGTACCAAATGTTTCCTAGAATATTGACTGAGTACTTAGATTGACCCAGTGGCTCTTGCTGCCTTTCGTTGGCAATGGTACTACACTGGAGCATAAGATATTAAAAAATGTTTGAATCCAAGTAACTGTAAAAATGTTTGCAATGAGAACTTTCTTCTTGTTTGCTACTTCAGTTGTTATTTTATTCTTTCAGATGTGGTGGAGCCAGAATCTGTTATATCTTTCATGAGACCTTTGGAAGAACCTTAGAATCTGTTGACCCACTGGGTGGCCTTAACACAATTGACATTCTGACTGCCATTAGAAATGCTACTGTGAGTGTTCTGTATTTCTGGTTATTGTTGCTCTATGTTGGACAGGAAGCTAAGGTTTCAACAAATCTGTGCTCCTTCAGTCCTGTGAATTAATGATCTCAGCTGAGCGAGTTAATATGAAGAGGCCAAATCCTTGGGTTTGGTATTTTAAGTGGAAAAATTACCATGTCCAAACTCATAGCCATTATTCTATGTATGGAATGAGTTTAAGGTGAATGTTTGCATCTCCTTGCTGTTATTTGCGGGCTGAAGTAAAGCTTAGGCCAAGGTTTGGCAAGTGTGCTGTAGCTGTTATATATTACAGAAGTAGTGATAGAAGTTTGCCTCTGCATTTATTTTGCCTTGTGTTGGTTATGAAGACTTAGTCTGAGATGTATGGGCTAGGACACACTCAGATATTTTCTTTCTATAGAAGGGACACAACTTTTCAATGGTTCAGTGTTTATTTTACAGATTGGAGTTTTTGTGACTATGGGAATTGGTGCTGCTAAGAATTAACAGTAAATTTTACAGTATGTAGAATGTTCACTCCTTAGAGCTTGACTGTGGCTGTTAGACATTGTGTGCTGTGCTCTGTTGGGTGTGGACAGGAGGATTTTGATGGGCTTGGAGAGTGTGAGGGGTTCTGCAGCAGAGATCTGTGTGCATGTTCTTACCCTTCTGTAAATGTAAAATAATAGCATTTACTAACTTTAAAAGCATTTACTGTTTTTGTGATGTGTCACACCTTTGTGGTTTGAAAGCTCATTTAATGAAAAAAGAAAATTTCAGATAAAAAGTGTTTTATGTGTAGCTGAACATTGGTCTGTGTGGTCAAAAATCAGATTATCCCAAATCCTGTAAATCAGTGACACTGAAACTCACCTGTCTTGTTGGTATTTTATGCCCAGGACTGTCACATAAATAATAGCAACTTTTCTTTCTGAAAGTAGGAACAAAATGTCTTTGTCTTTATAATAAATTTCATTTGAACTTCATTTAAACAAATGCAATAAAGGATTGTTTGGAGTTGAAGCCTAGAGTGACATTAGTAGGTAGAAATTTCCAAGATTCTCTAGGGATGCTGGTTAATCATTGTTTAACACAGTGTCTTACAGATAACAACTTTATAGCTTTGATTATTGTAATATTCTTGTAACATACTTTGCTGGAGACCTGGTCTGAGTTTTGGGTGTGAGCACTGTGACCTGATTTATTCTGAGCTTCATCAGGTACGACTTCTTTTTTTCCCTCCTTTTGAACTAGGGTCCCCGTCCTGCCTTGTTTGTTCCTGAAGTTTCATTTGAGTTGCTGGTGAAAAGGCAAATCAAACGTTTAGAAGAACCAAGCTTGCGCTGCGTGGAGCTGGTTCACGAAGAGATGCAGAGGATTATCCAGCACTGTAGTAATTACAGTACACAGGTAAAAATGCATGGTTTGGAACTAGGTTTGTAATTATTGGCATTTGTATATGTGCTCTGCTTCTCTAAAAACTTGTGGAAGTCTCATCAGATTTTTGGTTTGTTTTTAGGAATTACTGAGGTTTCCCAAACTGCACGATGCCATAGTTGAAGTAGTAACCTGTCTGCTGCGTAGGAGACTTCCTGTCACAAATGAAATGGTAATTCTCCATCTACTCTAATTTTGCTGGAAATAGCACATGTTTTCTGGAGTCTTTATGCTTCTGCTTGTAGTGTCAGTAACTCAAGTTACTTGTTAAATAGCTAGTTTTTTATTATCTGCAGTGTCTGAAACTTCTTCTGTATTAGAATATAAATATGCAGAAGACAAAGGGATGGGGGAATCCCTGTTCAGGTTATTGTCCTCTATGTTTCAATTTCCCAAGAATGATTTTGCTAAAACTTCCACTTAGCATCTCTTAGTCTTTCTGATACAGGTAGATTTCCCTCCCTTGTAACAGAAGCTGTGCTGTAGAGTTTGGGATGTAGTGATGAAAATTAAATTATAGTCCTTATTCTGTGTGTTTCGGAGGTTTATGATGTCCTTTGGCTAGTGAGAACTAAAAATTCAACTGGCAGCTTTGAGTAAATATGTTTTAATGAGTTAGCCTAATGAAGCTAACAAGTTAAACTGAGGACACACCCCGAATCACTGAAGGTCAGAATATATTATGACCAGTTAATGAATCCCCTTCTTGCCTTCAGGATCAGAACTTTAATGTCTTTGAGCAGTGAGAATGGTCTTTTGCTATGGACAGTCAGACCACACTTTCTAGCATTGTAGGTCATTGCTCTGCACAAGCATTGGTTCTAACCATTAATGTCATTGCATTGCAGGTTCATAACTTAGTGGCCATTGAGTTAGCTTATATCAATACCAAACATCCAGACTTTGCTGATGCCTGTGGTTTAATGAACAACAACATAGAGGTAAGAATGTATGTTCTCTTTAAAAGTGTTTTGATTCCTTTAAGTGAGTAAAATGGTAAAAAGAAAAAAAATTAATTGGTACAAGAACAGATTCTTCAATTATTGAAGCCATGTTCTCCATTTTGAAGTATAAAAATGTGATGTATTAAAATGTGGTGCTGTGATCTGTGGATCTGTTAGATTTATATTGCATATTACATTCAGGAACAGTGGATGATATTTCACTCAAAAGATTTTGCCTATATTTCATCCTGGAAAATAAGATAGGCACTTAACTGAGTATTGGCTATTACATGGAATTTTTGTGAGAGTAACTTTAAATATGTAGTTGTGAAATGCCATTTAATGCTGAAGTAGCTGCATTTGTCTCTGAGATGATGTATTAATGGCTGTAATGTTCCTCTCATTCATGAAAGGATAATACAAGTGTTGTGTCCTCTGTTGAGGTTCTAATTTCTGTTGCTTTTGTCATTGTCCTTGAATCTCTGTGTTACCAGGCTTCAGTCTCCTTGAGACAGTTTGCTCATCAGTCTCCCATTAGTAGTCTTTCTGTTTCTCAAGCCCAGCTTTGATTGATATTACTTGTTGCTGTCATCATCCTATAGAAGAAGTTCTACAGCTGATCTGCTAGGCTGATTCTTGCAATCTGGTTTTGTTGCAATACTTCATCCATCTGACTAAGAGCTCACTAGTGCTCTTGTGTTTATCCAACACGTGGTTTTCATATCATAGAATAGCCTGGGTTGGAAGGGACCTAAAGATCCCATCTAGTTCCAACCCCCCTGCCACAAGGCCAGGTTGGTTAGAGCCCCATCCAGCCTGGCCTTGAACACTGCCAGGAATGAGGCATCCACAGCTTCTCTGGGCAACGTGTTCCAGTGTCTCACCACTCTGACAGGAAAGAATTTCGTCCTAATACCAAATCTCACCCTGCCCTCTTTCAGTTTGTCCTGTCATTACATGCTCTTGTAGTGTGCTTTTTTTAAAATGCTTTAAATGTTATAATTTCTGATCCTTAGTTTTAACCTTTTACTTTCTTCTATACATAAATCATGTATTGACTGGGTATGCAGTTGAATTTGCCTTCGTAGTCTGCTCTTAAATCTAGTGCAGAAACAATGTGTATGGAAACTGCTATGAGTACAAACATTAGGACTTTTGAGTATACAAAATTGTATGATCACATATAACTTAAACTAGTTCTTGCCGAACATTTTTCTGACAGGACGCTGAAATTTTTGAAGAAGCAAACCATGTAAAACACCTTCACCTTATTCAGTGGATAATCAATTCCTAATTGCAAGAAAAATCAGAACTTTCTTTGTCCCAATTGCTTCAAATTCTGTTTTGTTATTAAATGAATTCTTCTGCCTTCTTCCTTTTGGGCTAATCGTGTGCTGGCCAGAGAACCAAATCCTTTAGATTACTTTGAAGATTTAAAGCTTAATGAGGGCTATAGCGTATCTGTGCTAAGCCAAATTGTGGTACCTTGATGTCCTTTTTTAAAGGCTCAAGTTTTGATTATGGGGTGAGAATTTTGTTTTGACCTGGTAATCCAAGGAATTTTTTCAAATAATCGAGGTTTTCATGGGATCATAGTATTGCTACATGACACTGGATGAGCTGAAATTACTAGTGTTTGTGTCCAAAATGTAAGTCATCTGTAAAATGTGAATCTTGCCTGTGTTGATACAGAGTAATACATAACTGAGGTCTTGCTGGGTTGTTTTTAAAGGAACAAAGGCGTAACAGGTTAGCTCGGGAATTGCCTTCTGCTGTGCCACGGGACAAGGTAAGTAAATGTTGGATTTTATTGATTTATTCTTTTGAAGTTTAATGCATTCTCCTTGATGCAATCTGAGTGTTGGAAACTTCGATATGCTGCCCTAGTAACAGTCTTGGGAGCTTCCAGGTATTGACTTTTTCCTTTTAATTTCATGAGCTAGAAGTGGAATGTCATTTTCTTATACAGATGCACTTTTTGGGAGGCTTTAAATCTGGTCTTTCTGAAGACTTGTCTATAAATTTACTTTAATATTGCACTTACTAGTCCTTTGATGTCATCTGAGGTAAGGTGTAAAATGCAAGATGGAGTCAGAAGTTGCATGCTTAAATTTACAGCTGTGACACACTGAAAAAGATAAGTGATTTAAAATATCTAGTGTGCCAACATAGTCGCTTTTTGGTTAGTTTTTTGGTTGGTTGCTTGTTTTATTTTAAGCCACTTGTAGAACTGCAGTTTGTGACAGTCTTGCATTCTTTGGGAGAAGGTGGTGGAGGTGACATTTTAAGTTAATCATCATAATCCAGTCAAGTATTCTGTCTCTGGAGCTTGCTTAGTTTTACTAGGCTTTGGGATTAGTTCAATGACAAGTAAACACATGGGTGGAAGAACCAACCAAGTGTTATGGAAAATGCTGCCTAGCTGTAGAAAAGAATGGTCTGGCAATCAGCTGGAATTTTAGACAGTTATTTAATACTATGTGAACTATTCAGAATTCAGAGATACAGAATACAGCTTAAGTTCCTCAGAGGTTGTAACAGGAATTTCTACAGCTGATAGAAATTGGTTCATTAAGTTTGTTAGCTTAAAAAGTGAGACACAGTCCCAGAATGGATCTAATACTGCTGCCTTGAGTCAGGAGAAGCCAACTGAGGGATGAACAGGGAGTTTAAGGGAGATATCTAGATTGCTTTCAGTGCTCTTTGATCCTTCTTTTTATTGTCTTCATATTTATATCATCGGTGTAGGAGCTGAAATAAAATTGAAAGTCAGATAATCCAAAAGTCTCTAAACTGTCTTGGAGATGCCTTTTCTTTTGATTTTTCCTGCTTATATTACTGTTATTCTTGCAAATTCAAAACACTTTCTTTTCTGGATTTTTAAAGATGCTAGTAGTTAAAAGTATGTGAAATTTGCTAGGTAGATTTGGTGGTCTTCAGTTGAATATTTTTTCCCCCCCCTCCCTGCATTTTTTACCTTCCTTAGTCTACTAAAGCTCCAGGTGCATTGGCACCTGCTTCCCAGGAGACTGTTACTGCTGCTTCTGCTGAGGCTGATGGCAAGGTCTGTCTTGATTTTTTCCTCTAAGCACTGCATGCACGTTTCTGTCATGGTGCACCACAGATAGTAAGGAAAGCAGTTTGCATTTAGTGCTCTGTCACTGCCACAGTGTGCCCTGCTGAGTACAGACTGCTCAGCACTGCTGGCAGGTAAAGACATGCCCTTAGGTGGCAGAGTCACTGCTTTCTGTTGGAACTCTTGGTTGCAATATGTTATGGTGCAAGTGTGCAGCATAATTTGCCCCAAACTGTCTGTAGATTGTTTGGTGCAACAGTATTGTAATCCAAAGTGTTCAGCATGGTTGTTAAACTGCATGCTTTAATGTGTTGACAGTAAAAGAAGGAGGACAGAAGACAAGCTAAAAATGTGAGTTTCCTGCTTCCTGCAGGGAATCTCTACAGGCTTTGTTCAAACTGAACCTCCTTTGTGTTGTTTCACATAATTGTTCAATCCCTGGTTTGCTTACATTTGTGACATGTGTTCTGCAGTGTTTTTTTACACATTAGCTGTGCTGTCTTTCATGTTAAAATAACAGCTCATTACTGTTAAGACTTTTTTTGCTAATTGCTTTCGCTTGGAGTCAGAAAGGATGGGTAGTCACAAGTTTGTGTTTTAGGAGGACCAAGAGGACTCAGACTTTCTGCTTCATTGCATATGCATATTCAGCTTTTAGGGCAAAGCTGCCATTTCTGCCCTGAACAGAATTGTTAAAGTCAAAATCTAGTCAATAGCAGAATTTTAACTATTATTTTCATCATAGTTTTAGAGGTTCTGATATGCTGCAAACACTAAAAAGAAGTCAAGAGCTACTGTGAGGATACTATTGTGACTTGAGAAGTTGCAGAAAGCTGCCAAATTTGAATTGTGTTTCCCATAAAACTGTCCTGTATGAGGTGGCACATTTCACACTTGTGAAATAGTGTAGCTTTGTTTCTAAAACTGCTTTGGAGATCGAGCAGGCCCCACAGTAATATGGGGTGAGAGTGGCATAGGGATTTTTGTGTAGCTGCCTTGCAGTCAAACAATGCAGTGGAGCTTTCCTCATCAATAGTTCTCTTATTAACAGTTATTTCAAATCTTGTAGTGTATTCTCCAGTGCCTCTGCACAGTTGTGCAGTTGAAATACAATTCCTGATGTGCACAGTTTGGCTGGGTTTCCCCCTGGTGTGCAGCTGCTGGTGTTCTGTTTGCCAGGCTTTGTTTCTCACTTGTTTTTTTGGACTTCAGGTCAGCCTGTGGTGTTTTAATTGTAAACACAATAGATAACTTCAGCTTTTTTTCCTCCTATATCTGAAGCAAGACATAAGTAGCAGTTCAGAGCCTGAAATGTTTTTCAAACAGCAGTAGATCTTAAAGCACAGTAGTAAATAGACCAGATAAGAGGCTTGTGGAAAGGTGGGAAATGAAAATTTCCACTGTTCCACATCAAAATAAACAGTTGGCTTTTTTAATGCTACTTTAACATATGGTGGATACCATGCACTAATACTTCTTTTCTCCAGTGGTTCCTAATGTTAGAGTTGAGTGTTAATGACCTTTTCTCAGGAGATCAGTGAATCATTCTTTGGAGCTTCCTAGAAACTGCGATCTTCATTTCCAGAAGATGAAGATTTTATTGTGATTTGGTACAAAAGAACACCTTCTGTAAATTGAGGTCTGGCAGCACAAATATGTTCATAGCTGTGGTACCTGCAAATTAATATGTGCATATTTTTTAGCCATTATTCTACCAAACTTCAGTTTGTATTTAAATAAAGCCAAAAGTAAAGTCAAGTATTGCAAGAGCTGTGGTGATCTTCAAAACCTCCTTTCAGAACGATCCTGAGACTACAGGTTGTATTGCTCTAAGGATGTATGTTAAAAGTGGTAAAATAGCCCAAATAGTTTAGGAAGACTGCTCCATATTTCAGAAGTGATATGTAGACCCTTAAAATGCTGGGGAACTTGTCTGTGTGAAACATTTTCATACCATTATTAGGAAGAGTACAAGTTTTAAAAGCTTCCATTTCACTGGTACCTTGTGTCAGCTGTAAGCAGCAAAGGGAGAACAGAACGAAGGGAATATATGTATGAAAGTCTCATTTTTAGTGAGCCTTACCTATAGCAGATTTGATCAGACACTGCCTTTCAGTGCCCAAGTTCTAATCCCCCAATGTTTTTTCAATGTGCTGTTTGTGCAGGCTGCTCCTGTAGCAGCAGATGCGACTCAGGAGTCTGGAACAGGCAACTGGAGAGGAATGCTCAAGCCCTCCAAAGCAGAAGAGATAGCGGCAGAGGAAAAATCCAAGCCAGCTGCAGCCCTCCCTGCCAGTCCTCAGAAAGGACCTGCTGTAAACCTACTAGATGTGGTGAGTCATGACAGACAAATAACTTTTCTTTATAGTTCAGCCTCGATGAAGATCTTGTAACTTTGTTACTAATACGTGATACCTTTGTAAATAATTCCCACTCTAGTAACAGGAGCTCTGGCCACTCACTCCCTGCTGCTTCTCCTTGCCCAGGCCTTCATCTCCCCCTGCCCACTCTGGGTTCAGCCTGTGCTTAGGATAACTTCCTTTCACAAATTCCTGTGCGAGCAAACTCCTTGTCTAGACTGCCCTTTGTACAGAAACAGAGCTCAGCTCAAACTCTGTTCTTTTTATCCTGAAGTTGAATTTTTATCTTAGAGGAAAGTGACTATTAAAGACCAAACCCACTGAAGTTAAAAATAGATGGAGATACTCTAAGTGTTTGGAGAGCTTAGTTCCTTCGGTGAGCTTTAGAAATATTTACTAGTGGTGCCCTCTGACCTTTGTTTCACAGGTCTGGATTTTGATGTCTCATTTCATTTCTGAAGAGTTATTGATTTGTTGCAAGACAGGTTATGTCTATCAAATTCTACAAGCTTAAAAGAGCAATAGTTTATTTTAGACTCCACAGTTTGAGTTTTACATATGCAAATGAGCAGCACTGCTAAACTGAGGGGTTTATTCTCTTCCATAGCCTGTACCTGTTGCACGCAAACTTTCTGCCCGTGAGCAACGAGATTGTGAAGTGATTGAGCGACTTATAAAATCTTACTTCCTTATTGTCAGGAAGAACATTCAGGACAGGTAAAACCAAGCTTCCTAGAAATATTTAAGCCATATAAATACTGTGATATCTCAAAAGTCATATATGTAATCTTGTTATTTTTATTATGTTTGTAGGAAGAGAGAAAATATATTAATTTTTTAGAAGAGAGCAGCAGTAAAACTTGACCCTTCACGGGACTAAGAAGTTTGAAGAACTTGTTTTCTCTAATGATTTCAATTCTGTATAATATTAAGTAAAAGGTTTAATTATTCAGGAGATATCTGTTTTTCTGGGAGATGCTTCAATTCAGATGGATGATTTGCAGCAAATAACTGGAATAGACTCTAGTTGCTGTGTAGCCCTGGCAGAACTTAGTTCTGCCATCCTGTTATTTCAAATGGGAAGGTCAAATAGGAGCTCCTGTGGCTGAGTTTTCTAGTACTTAGCTATAAGGATGCTGTATAGCATAAAAGTGTTGTTTGTGGAAAGACCTAGCCTCATAAATATTTATATTTTTATGTATGTGGGGCATTTGGGGGGAAATACAGGAATCTGGAAACTAAAGTTTAGAGCAGATTAGTTTTAGTCTATCCAGTAAATAAATATCCTCAGTATAATTTTTAGTATTTCATGGCAGAGAAGTGCTTTGTTTACCTTAAGTTTACTGTGGTGTTAGTACTATGTAGTATTAGATATATGAATTATTTCCTTTGCCTCTTTCCCATTCACACATTAAAACCGATTTTAGGGTTGAATTTACTTTAAAGAAACAATCTTTATATGCTTGCAGTGTGCCAAAGGCAGTGATGCATTTTCTGGTGAACCATGTGAAGGACACTCTTCAGAGTGAGCTGGTCGGGCAGCTGTATAAATCCTTGTTGTTGGATGACCTTCTGACGGAGTCTGAGGACATGGCACAGCGCAGAAAAGAGGCAGCTGACATGCTGAAGGTAATAAAAAGATCAGGAACTCATGGGAGTAGTTTACCATTTACAAAGTTGGAAGACTTTTGCCTTCCTTTTTTGATTTGCTGCTTTTGAAGTGCTGTTCATGCAGAGCCTAATGGCCAGTGGCTGCTGTCTCTAGACAGTGCCCCATGATATAAACAGTGGGAGTGTTTTCACTCACTTGTGATGACCTCCCTGTACATCTCTGGGACAGTGTTTGTGACATGCACATGTCTTCACTGCTCAGTTACGTGGTGCATCAGTGGCTGCTGTTCCGCATTGAGCTGCATAGCAGATGGTCCCTCTGCCAGTTCAGCTCACTGGAGAAGCAGCAAGAGGTGCTTCTCTTTTATCTCCCCTGTAGTCAGACAGTGCCTGTTTGAGATACTGGATACACTGAGATGCTGCTTGTCCCAGGCCACCTGCACAAACTCATAGCTCAGATTTCTCCAAATTTGAGTAGTACTTTAAATAATGTTAGCATTAGTTGGCATTCTGAGCATTTAAATGTGCAGTTTAACAGGCTAGACTGTAATGAATGCTACAGAATGTTATAAGTGATGTTGAGTAGGTGCAATTTCTTTCATTTAGAGGAAGGTTTAAAGCATTAAAACTGTGTGTGTAAAAAAGTCTGTCCTTTGTGAGTACTTAATGGATTGCCACTCATCTCATAATGAAGCTGATTAGTTCTGATTTGGTTTTTAACTTCACACTTGCTAGACTGCTGCTGTTATCTCCTTGAGGAATCTCAACAGAAAACCTAACCAGCTTGTCTGTGTTTGTGTGCAGGCCCTGCAGCGAGCCAGCCAGATTATTGCAGAGATCCGTGAGACACATCTTTGGTGAAGACTGTATCAGCCACACTATTTATATGCATTGGAGGTTACATTGGCTTGAAAATTGCTAGGCATGATATACGGAGTAGAATTTTTATTTATGAACTCTTCTTACCTGTGTACTGCAACTGTGTAAATCTGCTCATGTAAAGACAGTTGGTTTGATTTGCAAACAGAAAAATATGCTGTACTTTGCAAAAGAAGTTGTATTTAATCCACATAATAAATGGCTCTAAATGTTTCCTTACCAGCTTTCTGGTGCAAATTAAAGCAGACCAAGTCTTCTGTCTCAGTGACAGTGTCATCTGAACTTGGGGAAAAACGTTCAAGTTCCAGTGCCTGACTTGCTGAACAGGTTGCCCGTGGTTAAGATGGGCCCGTGTAGTCTTGTGGCATAGTTTTAAGCTGCTTTTACAATAGAAGTTTAACTCCTGTGAGGAGAAGAGAGCACCGAGTATTTTCTTTCCTGAATATATTGCATGCACTGTGACAGATGGAGGTATCCATTTTATAGCACAGTAGAGATGTCGACCGTATTACTATGTATGTGTGTTCCCTTTTTTCTTCCCCAAGTGTTAAAGCTGCAGACAAAACTTGATTTAATGGAGTATCACATAGGAAGACTTAGCCTGGAGCTTGCGAACAAGAACAGCCTGCTGAAAAGTGGGTGTGAAGTTACTCATGTGCACTGGAGCTTGTGTGTAAGTGTTGGGGTTATCACCAGGTACAAGGATACCTTCCCCTTCCTCCACCCTGGGACCAAGCCCCTGGACCATCTGATAAGTACATTTGTTCTGGCAGAACTGAAAAATAAAAATGGATTTCAAAACTGTAACGGGATAATAAGTGTTTCTTTCAAAAGAAATAAAGTTGTCCAGGGCGAAGGGGATCCCCACAACTTCTTCAGATCTTGGAATGTATGACAATATGAAAGAAAGTCTGTGGTATTGGAATATTTATACCAGAGATTAGTTACTTTTGAGGAAATTTTACTGTGCTGTAAGTAGCTGCTTTTTTTTTGCTTTTTTTTTTGAGGACAATCGTAAAATTACGTAATTTAGGTTGAAAATTAAATTGAGTTTTTGTTTCTTCTGATTATAATTCATACAGAGAACTATTGATCACGCTAGCCTTTAAAAAGTAAACATTTTAATTTTTATGAAAAAAACTTTATTTAAACTTCAGCCAGCACACTTGCATGTACTTTTCAAGCGGATTCACTCTTTTTGTATCAAGTGAAAATGTTTACTATGGTGTTGCTGATATTTTAACACAACTTGCATGAACAATAGGGCACTGGCATTAACCTCCATATGGTGTTGGGCCAATACGGTGAGGTTTTTATTACCACATGCAGTTCCTTCCCCCATTAATCAGTTAACAGAAATGAATTCCTTTTGTAAGCTCCTAAATCTTGAAAATGTAAAAACTCAGTTTACAAGAAGCTCTGTTTAAAAGTGTATTTTTCTCATGGGAATCTGCAGTTTGGCATCAAATATGAGCACAAGGAGATCAGCCTGACAGATTCAAGTTGTGGGTACTTTATGTATGATCTGAGATAATTCATGCAGAACCCACTAATACATTGTGTACTTTTAAGCAGCCTGAAAAGTCATGGTGTATGCGTTACATGTAACGAATGCAAAGGAAGTAATTTTAACTTCCTGCATTTTATGCAGGGATAGTAGTTCTCAGATTTAAGAACTGTGAGTGAAGGGCAAACCACTTCTCAAATCAGCTTTGGTGATCGGAGAAACCTTTAAATAGTTTTGTCAACAGCATTACATTTCTGTTTGGAATTCACCTGATACCTCTCCCCATTTCACTCTCCACATCTAAGAAGTATGTGCTCAACAAGGTAGTGCCGTCCAGGAGTGAACTGCTACCTAAGCTTTAACACCCAGAGTGAAGTCACAGTCTCTTGTGAGGAAATATTCTGACTTGTAAAGATTTGAGATGCTGCATAAAGCAAATGAATTTCATTTATTTAAGAAATTCTTGCAAGTGATAACTGGCTCTGTAATGTCATGTGAAATTTCCACAGTGTTAATTTTGTTTCTGAAATGTTATGATGTTTTAAGTTTCACCAAAAGTTTCAATTTGGTAATGTTTGAGTGCCAAGAAATGAACTTGATTTGTAATCCTTAATGAAAGTCTCGGAAAGTCCATGCTGTAACAATCCTCTTATTTAATAAACAGATTACACAAATTAATCATCCCAGAATTAAAGTTTTGAACTGACTTGTAGTTCAGGTGCCAGGACCTACATCCTTTGTAAGGTAATGTTATAACTACCTATATTTGTATGTTTGCACTTGTTCTGCATTTCTGCATTCCTAGTTCTTGTCCAGTTGCCTGAGTAACAGTGTAGCCTGGCTGCTCGTGGCTAGGGGTAGGTTTAAAACAAGCTAGTTTCTGGAATTGAACTCAAATACTTCAATGCCACTATTACCCCCAGCTATGGAAAAAAGCCTAATGAGGTCAGCAATTGAAAAATTCTCAGATTAGAATGATGGTTTACAACTGTCTTCTAGCCTATTTAATTGAAACTTGAAATAATTTTGTCATCAGTGCACAAATTTCAACTATCTGGAAACTAATGTGTGCTCTCCAGTGGGGGGAAAATCATGGCAGGGGAAAACCACAGTACCCAAGTTCAGGTTAGTGAATGTCTGACATTACTACCTGACCTGTGTGTGGTACTACTGTACCTAAAACAGAGTATACCAATGTGCACAGAGCTATTCAGTAGTCGAGTTCAGATTTCACATAGTGGAATGGATGGGCACAGGGGGTTTTGTGTTTCAGACTGTACTCTGTGTACACAGAGCAGCCCTTGTGTAAAACCTGCCTTTACTCAGTGCTGTAGGAGGGACTGACTTTGAAAGATGCCAGAGTGGATATGGCAAACTCTGGTCCCTGCTTGGTGGACTAGAGCATGGGAAACATGGGTGTTTTCTGTAGGTACTGAAGATCTGCACTGCATCTGCTTTTGGTTGCTAGTTGAACTGTTTTGAGGTGAGTGACACTTCAAAGCTTAAGACCTCCATGGTTGTGTGCCCAGTGACACTCTTTAAACTAGTGAAGGTGCTTTTGTGCCAATAGCTCTGAGTTTACTTGTTGCATGCCCTTTCACCCTTTACCACTTCATTGCTAGCTGCCACAATGAGGTTAAATTCAAGTCCTGCAGGTTTTGTTGTACAAATGTTTTTGTGGTTTTGTTTGGTTTTGGTGATTTTTAATATGTGGCCAAATAACTCTTTTTGCAGTTCCAGATCACACATTTGTAGCCGTGTTAGATGCTTTAATATTAGTTCCTCCTTGTTCACATTTTAACAAGCTGTCTCTGATTACCTGAATGTGCCTGTTTTGGGGTACGTGAGAAATAAGACCCAGGCTAAGAAAGAATTTTCTGGTCATTCTTGATCCTTGGCCCAGGTGTTCAAATGCTCAGTTGTGATGACACTGCACAGTCATGGCAAGCAGTGCTTGTACCCAGCTGTTGCTTTGGAAAGAGGCAGGCAAGGGTTTTGATTCCTAGGAGTTGGTCAAAAGGAAGCACAGACTAAATTTCTTACACATTTCTGAGTCTTATTAAAAACCTTGTATGCAAAGAACTTGATTCCCTTTTTTATTTTGTATTTGTAAAAATAAATAAAATCCTTATTAATTTATTAAAAATGGGTATATATGTGCATCTGCACCAGCTGGAGATTACAGAAAAAAAGCAGGAAAGAGATCAGACATGAAACAATCCTAGGAGTTTATTTCCTGCAACTAGAAAGAGACTGTCAGACACTCTGCTGTGTCTCTGGAGGCTGACAGGGGTGGGTGGTGGTGTAGTTTGTTCCCAGGTGTATGTTTCTCCTATGCTGTCATTTAAAGTAGAAATGACTACTTTTTATTTTATTATGTAGCAGAGATTAGGATAGAGATGTCTCATCAGGAAGGTAAGTGGGCTCTGGCAACTGGAAGTAATGCTAATAACTCCATGTGCTGAGCTAGTGGAAGTGCTACCATATTTCAGTTTGATGGCCTGAAGAAACTGTGACCTATAAGCAGCAAGCCACCATGATTTATTACTCTTGAAATCTGGAGTGACAGTGCAAATAAAGCCAACATCAAGTTGATCAGGTAAAAAGAAAGAAGCAAAAACAAACCACTTAAAAATAACAAACTCCCACCTACAGCCTATCTGGAATCTCTAGCCTTGTTAGTATTTCTTAGTGTTGCCCCATTCTTCTCAGACACTGGGTGGTCTCAAACCAGCTGAACTAGCATGACTTGTTCTGACAACAGAAGAGATGGTGCTGAATTACCAAGTTCAGGAAGCTCAGATTGAGGCCTCTCACTTTGTGGCTGCAAAACTGTATTATCTGGGACTAGGAAATTATTCTGCACAGCCTAAGAGTGAGGCCTAATCCTTGAAAGTTAACATTGCACCCAACACTCAAAGCACTAAATGAAACTGTGGGTCCCTTAATAAAAAAACTCTGAGCCAGCTACATTACTGTATTCTAGCAGTCACTTAACCAGTTGTACATAAATCTGAGTTTGCACTGCAACTAATCCACCTGTACTGCCTGAGCAACCCAATCTCAAACCCCATCCTGGAATGGGAATTCAACAAGACATTGTACCCTGTGCTTATCTGGTTCCACTTACGTAAGCAGCTGTAGTGGCTAGTTACAAAAAGGAGGGAAGGTGTTTTGAGCAATAAAGCCATTCTACCTCTAAATGTAGATGCTGCTATTCTACCAGCTTTTAAAGTTCATTCTCTCTTTCATGCTGTCTTTACAAGAAAATGAGGAAGCAATGATCCTAACTGTTGACTAGGGCATAAATGGTAGGATCACTTTCTGCTCTTCCATTAGGAAGTGCAGCTTTTGTATGTTGCTCTGGCTGAAGGATCTTTTTTAACTGCAAAAAGCACTACAGCTTCCCTCACGTTTTCTGGTCCTCTTGTGGTGCTGTTCACCCATAACTCTTGGGCAGCTAAAATTAAAGAAACTCTCATGTATGTGCTTCAAACCTTCTGGGATAATATACTATCTTGGAACTGACACTAAAACCCACACAACTAGTGCCAGGATACACCTTCAGCAAAGATGCTGGATAGCACAGGAGCATCCAGGTAATGCACAGGACCAAAGAAGCAGAACGAGCGTCACCCACCGTGAAATCACACTACACACCCAAAAGGCATAAAAGAGATCCACTAGGTTAAGCTTTAAAAGGCTCTATACTCTTACATTCCAAAAAATGCACTTGCTGTGTATTCCCACACTAAGTCTGCAGAGTTTCAGTGCAGTGTGCCCCCATATGTAACCAAGAAGCAGCTTACGTATCAGGGCTTAATCACTCTACTCCTTTATTGGGAATTTTCTGGGAATTCCTCCAGAGCAAACCTGCTCAAAAGACGCATGTTGATCGTAGGCTGGATGGCCTTACCCAGTGGCTGAGGTTTCTCTGTTAGGTGAGCATGTATCAGCTGTAAGAAGTACTAGGTTTGAGCATGTTTTTTGCTCATCTTGCTTACTCCTGCAGAGTAACAAGCCACTGTTCCCCTACACCACCCAAGGTTCTTAAAGGAGGGGAAGCACATCTTCATCTTTGGACTTTGAAATCAATCTTTTCACTTTCTTCTTGTGCAGATCCTCTTAGGAATGGTGCTTTGACTAAGGCAGAGTATCTAAAAATCTCTTCAGTAGTATCACTTAGCTGCCTTTATTTGAACTCTCTTGGTGCATTCTGAAAAAGCAGCTAATGGCATTGGGCAGTTTGTGAGCTGCATAGTAATGCCCAGTACAGAAACATCTTCAGGTACATCTTCAAGCAACAGAGTTGAAATGATCTGTTGTTTCAGGGGGATATTATGTTGTCACAACTGCAGCCATTTTATAATGTAGTAATTTTTCTTTCCAACCCTAAGTAATGACACTCCATTCTTGAGGATATGTTGTCCAAGAATAAGAACAGCCTCAGGATTAGTTACACGATTCCCATTTATTGAAACTCCACCGTCTGTAATTTTCTGGTACCTTAGAAAACAAAACCAAACAAAACCAACTGATAATTGCTATTGACAGTTACTTATGGCCTTTTTATGTTGGATCCATAACTGAATACATTTTAATTCCCTTGCACTTTACTATCATTCCAGGTCAAGAGTGACTGAAATTAACCTTAGCCTCTACCACTCCAATTCTTTCTGAGAGGTATAAGGAAACTTAGGCTGTCCCTTCATCAGGTGTAGACTTTACAGCTGAGGTACATAAGATTGCATTAATCTACGCTTTTACTTCAAAATGGAATGAGGTCATGTGCTCCTCTCTTGTTTAGTGCTGCTATGTGGATCACTCACCTTCTGCCTGGCTGGTTTGTCCTCACCGTGTACCACTACAACCTGTTTAAGTGAGTATTACTGAAGAGCACAGGCGATAACTTACCCACTAGGTCCGTCTGGAATGGCATTTGCTTTGCGACACAAGTCAAGAACACTCATTCCAGGTTCAAGTATCAATTCAGCAGAAGGAGCTTGTCTGAAAAGTTCCTCTAACTCTTGGTCAGACATAGCTTCCAGTGCCTCCACACTACTGTAATAAAGGGCCTGAGTGCACCTGTGAGAACAAAGATCATTCAAAATACAGAGCTTGTCTCACCTTCACACAAAATGCTGCTCAACTAATCAGAGTCCCCTCACCAGTTTCTTCTGAGTCCACAGACTAACAGAAGTTAACTAAAAGTACACCCCATTTGTTATATCCTAACCCACAGCCCTGCAGCTTCTTTGTATTGTTAATGTACTTTTAAGTCTACAGAATGATTACATTTCTCTCTAAATACATTAAAATAGTCCCTGAAAAGCTATGAATAATTACCCTTGAATACATCTGAAACAAAACTGCTTGACAAATCAAACTTCACCTCTTAGCAGATTCTAGCCCCTCTCTACCATGGACAAGCTTGGTTACTTCTGCAGCCAGTCGTTTTTGAGGGCCCCATTTTTCAGGTTCTTGGGCATGCATCTTCATGATGTGGGCAATCTCCTCAAGAGGAAGAAAGGTGAATAGCTTCAGGTATCTGTGAGCAGGGAAAAGAATATTTTGTCTGTATAGCCATCAATTGAGATTTCCTGCCTGTGCATTAACTATACTAAACTGATTCTTAGTCAATTAATACAGATATTCTGTCAAACAACACTTTGGTTTTGCCCATGTGCTTCAGCTTACCAGCATAACTCATACTTTATTTAATATTCTGCTTAGGGTCATGACCTCAGACATAAGAGAGTGTTAAGATGCATTTATGAATTGCAATCAACGACTTGGTTTGCTCTTGGAATTTTTACAGCAACTATTGCAATTGTGTGTCAACTAACAAGGTTTTCTATTATCTTCATGGCTGCATAATAGACCACTCATGCCTGTTTACTAATGAATGTACAGATATAATTAACATACACCTGCACACAGAGCCTGTGCTGCACATACTCAAATGAGACAGCTACAGAGAACAGTTGGGAACAGGTTTTATAAGCAATGACTAAAAGCAAGGTGAAGAAAAATCTACTTACTTTTCAACTACATTATCTTGCTGTCTGACAAAAAACTGATACAGCTCAAATGGAGAAGTCTTTTCTCTGTTTAGCCAAACTGCATTTCCAGCAGTCTTTCCCAGTTTGTCTCCAGTAGTACTGGTAATAAGAGGTACAGTAATTCCAAACACATCTGCTCCTGTCACTCTGTGAAAGGAAATAAGTCACTGCATGTTAAAAAGGATAAAATAAAACATGTCTTGGTTGACAAGCATCTCTTAAGATCCTATGCTTGCTATAAAGCAGTTCAGTCAGACAGCGAGTACCACAAGATGCCAGAACAGTGTTCTGTGAAGAGTGCCTTGAGAAAAACCAACAACTTGAGGTTTTAAGTTCTTTTGTATGTATCAAAGTTTACATACTTTAAAATACATAGTTTCATGAGCAACAGCATTAGCAAATTTGTTGTCCTGGACCTTTTGTCTGCCCTGAGCACTAACTGAAGCTGCATGTGTGGCTGGGACACTTGCAAGGCTTTTCCTCTGTGCTGCTTCTGTCTTGTAATAGTATGGCACGTACTGAAGTAGAAGCATTGCCACATACTCACTGGTTCATATTTCTGCAAATTTTCTAAGTCTCACACTAAATCGGGTAGATAAGCAAAACCCACATCCTTGTCAAGTTTCATGTTACTCCTGAGAAAGGAACAATCTTTATACACCACGCGTATATATGTAACACACACCGACATACCATGACTGCCTCTATTTCGGTGTGATTACGCCAGGATGCACGTGCTGCCAGAAGACTCATCTCGATTTTATCTCATGTGTCAGTGTGTTTGATTTTGGCTCTTGGGTTCACTAATACAAGAACCCACTCTTTTTGTGAAAATTTCATTAACAGCTCATGGCAACGCTCAAACTCTGGCTGTGTGCACACATGTTATGGCCAGGCTGATACCAAGAAGTAGACTGAAAGCAGGAACTGAACAGTTAAAGCTGAAAGCATAAAGAATAACTTTACTAACAGCACTATTTCAGCTTAATTAGCAAAATAGCAAGGATTTCTTAGTATAGATAAGGAGTTTCACTAATGATGTTGTTTTGGCTTGGCTGGCGAAACGATGCACCTTATCTATAAGACAGTAGAACTAATTAGGCTCCAAACCTTGGCAGTAGGGGGAAAACAAAGACCATATAAAGTGTGGAATGAAGAAACAAAATGTACAAGATAGAGGCAAGGTCAGAAATGAATGCAAAAATGTACAAAGGGGTAAATGGTTGCACAATAAGGGTGTCCAAAGGGCACTGAGGAAGAGCAGGCGCTTCATCTTCACGACCACCGAACGACCACCAGGACCATGGGACTGATGCCAGGAGGGAGAAGACGGAGGAGGAGTACACGATAATGATTTCCAAGAATTATAATAATAACCACCCATTCCTGGAAATAATGAATATGTATGAGCATTTAACGTATATAAACTGTGAAGTTTTTGTCCCTGGTGGCACAAGTTTGGTGGAGCGATGCCCCTTGTGCCCAGCGCTGAATAAACAAACACCCGCTACTCAGAGATACAAGTCTGCGAGTAGTTCTTTTCCAGGCTTTTGTCGGCATCGAGGCCAACTAACACCGCTCTCCAATCACGCAGTTTAAGGGCAGATCTCTGAGGGCGAGTCCGGCGCGCCCGGCCCGGCGTACCTGGTGACGAGGTCGTACCCGGACATGATGTTGCCCATCTGGTCGGCGC